AGCCCTGCATCGGGCTCCCTGCTCAGCGGAGAGCCTGCTTCTCCTTCTCCCACTCCGCCTTCTTGTGTTCCCTTTCTAGCTGTGTCTCTCTCTGTCAAATAAATAAATAAAATCTTTAAAAAGAAAAAAAAGAAAAAAGAAATTGACACTTCACTAGTACTCTTGTCCACTTGTGTAATTTGATCTAATACCAAAGCAGATTGACAGAATGCTTGAATTATTTGAGGAAAGGAAGAGATATTGGGGAAGCTATGAGTCAGGGATAGTTAGTCTACAGCAAAAATCAGAAGAGATTCTTAACACAATATTTTCTCACTAGATCAGGAGTTCTTAATCTGAAGTTTCAGAGGGTCCTTCACTCCCGGAAGTTATATGTAATATTTTATGTGCATGTGTACATTTTTTCTGTAAAGAGAGCTTTCATCAGATTCTCAAAAGGGTCTGTAACTTAGAAAACATTAAGAATCATTGTTCTTTACGCTAAGTGGCATGATCACTGAGTAATTATTTTTCTTTTTTTTTAAGATTTTTTTTTTTTAATTTCTTTATTTGACAGAGAGCACAGGTAGGCAGAGTGGCAGGCAGAGGGAAAGGGAGAAGCAGGCTCTCTGCTGAGCAGGGAGCCCGATGTGGGGCTCTATCCCAGGACCCTGGGATCATGACCTGAGCCGAAGGCAGACACTTAACGACTGAGCCACCCAGGCACCCCTCCAGTGTTTTCTTCTAAGTTTTCTACCATTCCATTCATTTGTATATCACTTTACCATTATCAATATTTATATACATATGCATGTTTCAGACATGCATGTGTATCTTTTACTATTTACGGTGGCACCTCTATCCACTGGCAAACTAGAGTGTTGAAACTCAAGATACCTGGACACCCCAAAGTTTGTTCATCAAGGTCAATGAGTGTATATTCTTCCTCCTCACTTACCTGGAACCTGGTTGCAGTTTCTCTGCAGAGCCTCAGCTTTGTTTCTATGTAGGTTACACAACTTCTGCCCACTGCTCTGCCTTTTGAGAGACAGTGTAGCATAGTAGTTAAGAAGAGGGACTCTAGGGACACCTGGGTGGCTCAGTCGGTTAAGCGTTCGACTCTTTTTTTTTTTTAAGATTTTATTTAAGACAGAGAGAGTGAGAGAGACAGAGCACGAGAGGGGTGAGGGGCAGAGGGAGAAGCAGACTCCCTGCTGAGCAGAGAGCCCCATGTGGGGATCAATCCTGAGACTCTGGGATCATGACCTGAGCTGAAGGCAGATGCTTAATCGACTGAGCCACACAGGTGCCCCAGTGTTTGACTCTCGATTTCAGCTGAGGTCATGATCTCGGGGTTGTGAGATCTAGCTCCGTGTCTGGCTGAGTGCGGAGCTTGCTTGGGATTCTCTCTTCTCCCTCTGCCCCTTCTCACTCAAGCGCTCTCTCTCTAACAATAAACAAACAAACAAATAATAAACTTCTTCAAAAAAAGAACAGGGACTCTAACATGTGGCCATCTGGGTTTGAGTCCCTACTCTCACAATGGTAATTTTTTTTAAAACCACTTTATGCTTTAGTTTTCTTTTCTTTTTTTTTATGCTTTAGTTTTCTTATTGTAAAGTTCCTGGATCATAGGTCTGTGAGGATAAAACCAATTAATTATATGAAATGCTTAGAACAGTGCCTGGTGCATAGTAAGTGCTAAGCAAGTGTTAATTCTTTCTTTCTCAAAGATTTTATTTATTTATTTATTTAAGAGAGAGGGAGAGTGCACTTGTATGCAAGTGGGGGGCGGGGCAGAGGGAGAGGCATAAGCCGACTCCAGGCTCAGCACTGAGCATGAGCACGAGCCCACCTGGGGCTTGATCCCACAACCCTGGGATCATGACCTGAGCCTAAATGGAGAGCCACCCAGGTGCTCCTAATTGTTACTTTTGATTGGTGTCCTGAGGGTACAAGTCAGGATCCCTACTAGCCTCTGTTCTAGTATTCTGCATGGGTGCTGTTAATTTTCATGTATGTATGAATGCACTGGCTTTTTTTTTTAGATTGAGGAATAGCTTACGTAATGTAAAATGTACAACTTGATGAATTTTTTTTAAACATGTACACATTTGTGTTACCTCCACTCCAATCAAGATAGAGCATGTTTTCAGGATCTAAGAAGTCTTCCTTGTGCTCCTTCTCATTCATATCCCCACCAGAGTAACTACTATTCCGACCTCTGTCACCATAGATTAATTTTGCTGTTTTTGAACTTCATGTAATTGGACTCATTTGTTTGTACTTTTTTCTTTCAGAGGTTTTTATTCAACATCTGTGAAATTTATCAATGTTTCAGTAATTTGTTCTTTTAAATTTCTGGGTTAAAAAACTTATTCTGGGTAGTACTTTATCACATGAATATGTTATAATCTTCCTACTCTGCTGATGGACATTTGAATTCTCTTTATGTAAGAAAAAAACTCACACAAACATGAAATGCCCACTTCAAAACACTTTATAATGACATTTCAAAAAGGGAATGTTTATACTATAATCTAGGCACTCTGGCATTTCCGTTTCTTGAACATGCCAAGTATGTTCAAATCTTGGAGCCTTTGCATTTGCTGTTCCCTCTATCTGAAACACTTTTCCTGAGACTTTCACATGGCTGTTTCCTTTCTGTTATTCTTTTTTTTTTTTTTTT